CGCGAGCCTCGCCCACTCGCAAATGAAGTGCGACGCGCTGGGTCCGTCCACCACCACGTGTGAAATCGTGAGGCCGATGCTGATGCCGCCGCAGGAGAACCTCGTTAGCTGAATCAGAAGCAACGGATTTTGGTGAATTGGGAGCGTGTAGTCCACGGTGGGGGCAAGGAGGCGGTACAAGTTAAAGTCGTCACTGAGATGTTGTAAACTCGATGAGGATTCGGCTTCGATGAAGGAAACCCCCGAGGCGTTGCAATGGAGCTCTAAACGACCGTTGTTTATCCAGTGTAAACGACCGGCTAGGGGATAAAACGGCACCAGGACTCGGCTCAGTGAGTCTCTCAAGGTGGAAGCAATGGTGGGGTACTTGCAGTTTTCTGGGGGGTGGTAGAAGTAGATTTTGGGAACGTGGGATACTTGTTCTGTTTGATCCAATTCGGATAAAGCTAAGCGTCCGCACCATGTTTTCTCCGTAGGCTTCACGGTGTAACAACCTTTTAAGGTCACTGCCATCTCTCACAAATGTGCTGCTTCTTCATGATATCAATGGGATATTTATAACCTATTTATAATAGAGAATTTCTACGGTACCTTCTATAAAAGAAGGGTACCGGTACTCTCGATGACGTGTCAGATGATATGTCATTTATATAGATTTATGTGTTTTATATAAAATCCATGTCATTTTAAATTTTTTATTTATTTAAAATTTACAACTGAAGTTCTCAGTTTTATAATTTTTTCATTTCGTATCTTTCTGGCTTCTTTCTAGCTTTCTGTAAATTTCCTCTTTTCCCGGTTTCTTCTCGCTGACGATCTGGTCTTGCGGGCCGGCGAGTGGCGAAGGCGGAGAGCGCGACCGCCGGCGAGGCGTGGAGGAGGAGCGTGGCGGAGGAGCGTGGCGGAGAGGGAGAGGACATCAAAGCGGCCGTCTTCTTTCTGTGGCTGAACCAAGGCCAGGGCTTCGACCACGTCGCTTCCGCCCGGGATTTCTAAACGAAAAAGGGGTCATAGCGGTCTCGGGCTCCTGAGTGGCGGTTTGGGCTTGTTTTTGGAGCCGGGAGGGCGGCCCCTGGGGCGCCTGACCACTTCAATTGTGGCCCCGTCGCCGGCGGAGGCGGCGTTGGGGCGGGCGTGGTGGTCCACGGGCGTTTGACATTCCCGCGAGAATTGAAAAAGTTGGTGGATTCTTCTTGTATAGAAAGAAAGCGCTAGTTTAGTTTTACCGGATTTGTGAGTTTAGGGTTTAATTATTTCTGTTTGTGATCTATGTGGTTTGTGTAAAAAAGAGGCTCTGTTTTAGATTTTCTTATGTGTTTTTTGTTCTCCTTTCATGTTTGGATTAACTATATTGATAAAATGTCTTGGGAAAAAATGTTAATTAGGTTAGGATATGACTTCCTGATAACAGTGCTTTCTCCTTGTTATCGATAATTTACATAATCAATCATTGATTCATGTGATGTTATTATGATTATCATGTATATACAATCTTGCACAATCTTGCATTTCTTAGTCCCAGTTCTGTTTTTGAGCAAAGGGGTTGTATATCAGAGTTCCCAACTAACACATCAAATGTAAATGCAATTGTTGGAGGTATGTAGAGTTTTTTCACTTTAACTATCTTCATTTTTCCAGCCCTTTAGTCTATATTTATTATTGCTTCTACTACCAGGTTCTGCTCTTTGCTTTGGACATGATGTTAAAGAGATGGATTGCAAACCTGTAGAGGGTAAAGTGGCAGGTGGAATAAATGGCCATAGGGCATTGGGATTTCACAACAAGAGAAACCGGACAATTGGACTTGGCGAGTGTGAGCAACTTGATCTTGTGTTGACTGAATCAGTTATTCGTTGGTCATCATGCACCCAACTTCCCACATCACCGAGATCATCTCTTGTCTGTTGAGGGTAGACTTTTGGAGAGATTGATAGAATAGCCTGATGTGGTGACTAAATTTGGCCTACTGATGCAAATTTACTTAACCCGATGTATATGTTTTCCCAAATTTTTGCATTCATGCTTCTGTCTTCTGCTTGGTGCAAGTTGTGGTTCGGATCTGTCACTTTAATCATGTAATGACTTCTAATTGCTCACTATTATTGTGTTCCTTTCATCCTCATTTACCTTTCCGTGTTTATTATCATGCATGAGTGTGAGTAATAGGAATTCTGCCTGGTTTGTAAAGGAAGTTGTATCTTGATGGTACTCCAAATGCTTGGAAATGAATTGTAAATTCATGTGTTAAATTATTATACTTTTGATTTTATTTTTGAGGTGGTGAGGGATGTTGGTTGGTTTGGAATTTGGATGATCATTGACTCAATAAAATAGTGTAACATGAACCGAGAGTAAGGAGGGTGCTTGTTATTTGTAGCAGAACTGATATGGCTATAAGCAGTAAATATCACCATGAACCGAGAGTGAAGGTTGGTATCATTAGTGGGACGGTGAAGGTTTCTTCTTCTTCTTCATTGAGAGGGAAAATTGTTACGAAAGAAAGGAACTACCGAGAGAAAATCTCGTAAGGAAATCAATGCATACATTTAACATTAACAATAAAATTTCATATAACTGACGTGGATGGAGATTTTAAATAATTAAAAAAATTATAAATGATTTAGATTTACACGTAAGTGACACGTCATCGACA